TTACGTCGTTGATATCATGTGTAAAGTTCACACTGTTTTAAACTGTTTTTTTCAAACCAAGAATTTCTGGATTTTTTAAATGAGAATCCTCAACTGCTGAAACATCTCATCCTGGGAGATGTCCTGTAAATTGCAGCAACTCGATGAGGAACTCTGGATGAGTTAGAATTAAAGATGAAATTCACAGAAGCTGAGATGCTGCAGCAGTCAATGGATCAGCAGATTTCAAGAATTACAGGACACCATCTACAGGACGTAATTTTTCAAAAATGAAAATTCCATCATTGTTTTTAATGGCATGTTTTAAAGTTTCAATTACTATGAATAAAATATTTTTCTTCCATCAGTCGTGTTTTTATTGGATTGTTAAAAAGTTTCCGTTTTTTGGGGTCACCCTATATTAGAATTATTAGCAGTAGCAACAAGGAAGCATGGTCGAGTGGTGGATAGCGGCTCGGATTGAGGAATCGGAGAGCCGAGTTCGAATTCCAGTTGAATCCATTACATTCACTAACGTGCTAATAACCTTGGGAAAGGTATGAATCCTCTTCTTCTCTCCCCAGCTATGTGTAAATAGCAGCACAGACCGGGTTCTACAGCCTTGGATAGCAACTGGTCTACCGCAGAAAGAAATGGCAACTTACTACGGGGAAAAATCTGCCTCGTCAGTCATGTATCGAAGGCACACAACTGAACGACATCTGTTGAAATTGCACCGAAAAATATTTGAGCTCAACTTTAACCAAATGTTATGATAATTACCATAAATATGAATGCGGGTCGTTATTTAGGGAAATAAAAGGGCACAAAGTATAACAGTGGGAATTTTTTAAAGATTTCACTGAAGGAGACGTTAAACATATGAGAGCTTAATCGTGGCCTCTATCTACCATTTCATTCTTTCTTGTTCTCAATGAAACTAAATAAAGTCTCTGATATATCTTTTCCGTAATCGAAACAGAATAGTCCATTATTGATAAGAGGTATTGGCAGGGTGCAACTTACGTCCTAAACGAATAAGGAACAATAATAATATGATGCTTTGCTATTCAGACTCGCATTCTCATCTGAGTTATTAGTGATTTTCCAAGCGTAGCCTAGATGTGGCACAAGGCCGAATGTATGGGGCACCCCATGAGGATCGTACTCGCTACTCAGTCGTAATTGTTTTAGCGAGACAAGCTTGCTAAGCATTACATTGCGCTGAGGTGCTCTTCTCGTTTTATTATATGAGAGACAGTAGTTGTAGTATTCTTTCTAGGAGAAGCAAGAGGACGTATGATGACGCAAAGGCTAGAACTTCCACACCACCCACTGACTTGTCTCACTAAGGAATTTGGGTGCCGGACGCTCGTTGGCTGTACCAATTCTTGCAGCCGCCCGAGTGACGTCGGATCTTTTTAATCTTATATATAAAAAAAAACATAAAATATGGCGCTAGCAGTTTGCCGTACCTATATCGTCTCTTTTGTTTCGTGTGCATCTCGCAAATCATGTCTACCTTTTACACTAGTGCAAATCGGACCTATGTCTATCTATTGTTTATCCTAATGAGAGAAATCAGCATTAGATAAAAAGAAACAAAGCAAAACAACTTTTATCTTTCTTTCTTTCTTTCTTTCTTTCTTTCTTTCTTTCTTCACGTGTCCTTTCCTCTATTTCCTTGTTTGTTTTTTTCTTTCTTTTTGCTTCTGTTGCTTTCTTTCTTTTTTGCTTTTTCTCCCTGTGTCCCTTTCTCTTTCTTTGTTTTTGCTTTTGTTTTTTTCTTTTTTTTCTCTTTAATTTTTGTTTGTTTGTTTGTTTATTTGTTTGTTTGTTTCCCTTTCTTTCATTTTTTCTTGCTTTCTTCTTTTGTTTGTTTTTCTTTCTTTTTGCTTTTGTTTCTTTTTTCTCCCTGTGTCCCCTTTCTCTAAACTTCTTTGTTTGTTCGCTTGCTTGTTTCTTTCTTTCTTTCTGCACCATGTGTCTTTAATTTTTTGTTTGTTTGTTTATTTGTTTGTTTGTTTCTTTCTTTCTTTCTTCTTTTTTCTCTACCTATTTGTTTCTTTTTGCTTCTGTTTCTTTCTTTTTTTTTCTGTGTCTCATTTTCCTCTACTTGTTTGTTCGTTTCTTTCTTTGTGTCTTTTTTTCTTTCTTTCTGCACCTCTGTGTCTTATGTCTTTCTCTGATACTTTTTCTTTCTTTCTTTCTTTCTTTCTTTCTTTCCTTTTTTTCTTTCTCCCCGTATCTTTCCCCTTTCTTTACTTGTTTGTTATTTGTTTTCTCGTTTGTTTGTTTGTGATATGTCGCGAAAAGAGATATATTTGTTCGAAGTAGGAAAGTTGTTGTTGACTACTGTAACGGGATAGGACAATCTAGCAGGTAACCGTAATGGACTGGTCCTCGTCGTAGTGGTAGGCAATAGGCGAAGAGTATAGGCGTAGTTTGTATTTATGGCTGACACCAGCCAATCATATTACTGTGAGGGGGGACCCAGGTGTATGCATATTCATTACATCAGTTTGTTTGTTTGTTTGTTTCTGTCTTTCTTTCTTTCTTTCTTTCTTTCTTTCTTAGTGTCTGTTTCATTCTGAACCATATATCTTTCCTTTTTCCTGTTTCTTTTCATTTCTTTCTTTCTTTCTTTCTTTCTTTCTTTCTTTCTTTCTTTCGTTACAACAGCTATTACGAATGCGCATATATCTTTCCTTTTTCCTGTTTCTTTTCATTTCTTTCTTTCTTTCTTTCTTTCTTTCTTACTTTCTTTCGTTACAACAGCTATTACGAATGCGCATGCGTGTGCCTTCGAGGCTTACTCTTCTGTCAATGCGAGTTTGTCTGCACAAGTAAATTTAGAGAATCAATGGCATCGATTCAGTATTAAAACTGTTTCATTTAACTTTCGCCTGATGCTGTTTTAATATTCATTCTGCTCAAACGGATTTTATTGTATTGGAAGAGTTAATATCACACCTTTCATTGAACGGAAAGCACGTCAACCGCAGTTATTGCTCAGTAAATAAATTACAATTAGACATCCATGAATAAAACTGCAGACTTTCCTCTTTAGCGTGGGTTAAATGATGCGTGTTTCCGATGGACTTGTTGCTAGCAGACACGTTTTCTGATATCTAAGTGACTAGAACAAAATTGATGCTTATTAATAGCACTCTGTAGCGTTATGCTACATTAAGAGCTTGCAGACTGTTCAGGTTGAAATATTACGTTTGACTATCATAAGACTTTACTGACTAATGGTATCTGATTAATATCTAACAAAACGTGCTACATTTAAAAGCATCGTCTTCATTAATACTACATTAGTTGTTTTCTCTTTTACATTTGTGTAAGGTTAGTGGGTTTAACGACATTTCGGACATTGTTCGGTTATATAATATCGAATATATATCACACACAATAAAAATCACAATGCATCGTCAAAAAAAAAATTAAGTAAAAAAAACGATGGAAAACAAGTCCGATTTGCTTTAGACTCCAAATCATAGATATAGGCATTGTTTTTCCTTAGAGTCAAAATGTAGACGTGGGTTCTGTTTGTATTAAAATAAAAATGGTCGACATGAATATGGCCTTCTCTAGAGACAAATTGTAAACATGAGTTCCGTTTGGACTAGAATAAAAAAAGTTAGACATTGATATGGTCTTGAATAAAAATGATTGACATGGATATGGTTTTCCCTAGAATCAAAATGGAAACACGAATTCTGTTTGCACTCGAATAAAATTGGTAGACATGGATATTGTTTTCCCTAGAGTCAAATTGAAAACACGAATTCTGTTTGCACTCGAATAAAATTGGTAGACATGGATATGGTTTTCACTAGAGTCAAATTGAAAACACGAATTCTGTTTGCACTAGAATAAAATTGGTAGACATGGATATGGTTTTCACTAGAGTCAAATTGAAAACACGAATTCTGTTTGCACTAGAATAAAATTGGTAGACATATTGTTTTCCCTAGAGTCAAATTGGAGACACGAAAGTTCCATTCGGACAGTTTTCCCTCCCAAGAACTGTTACTTTGTAAAACAGGTACCCACGTGAATGCTACTCTGAAAGCATTCACTTTCTCACCACTGCAACGTAGCATCCATGTAAAATGCTTTTTTGATAATCGTTCTGATGAATTTTCCTCTATGTTACCCTGGGGCTGGATGAATTTAAGTGGTGGTTCCAACCTCCTCAAAACCTCTCGATCAACAATACATTAAAAAAAAAAAATTATGAGAAATACATTTTTCGAAAAACCAAAAAATACCAGAAATACATTTTCGAAGAAAAAAAATTTACAGGAATACATTTGACTCTCGATAAAAATCATCTTTACAAAAATACAAGAATGAAACCTGATCTGCAAACTGATTTCTTACAAATAACATTTTCTATTTATACGAACATATCTTAAACCCTTGTCAGTATTAAGTAACCCATTGAGGTTGGTATGTCGTATAACAAAATTAACGAAACCCAATTTGTATTGGTTGAATTGAACTGTATAAAAAGATGTTAATGACACCAAGCTACAAGATTTCTTCTATATTTCTTTTCCCCATGCCGATATGAATAAACACTTATTTTTTGGTGATAATCTATTTTCTAATCACTTTGATTCATTTATTTCTTATTTCTACATATATGATAGCGTTTGTTCCTCTTGTCTTCTGGCTGTAAGATAATCAGGGATCCTTGTCTTTGTATATTTACTAGCTTTTTTCTTTCCCCTTTTTTTCTGTTTTACTTCATATTTAGCCTAATGTCATGCCGTTTAGACGGGCGCCAGATAATATCAAATAAGTAGTTTATCTATTGGCAGCTAATCGAAAAAGAAATGAATGTATTTCCTTTGTCCTTTAGTCCATCGATTCCTATGTAAAATTAAAAAAAAAAGAATTCATACATTAAATTCGGCAACTAACACCTTATTATCATATAATACAATCCCCCAGAAAGAGCAAGTCCTTCTGGCCAGAAGTGAGATACTTAACTCGTTTCGAAAAAAGGCATACAACCATTAACTTTTAGGCAATTCTTCGGAAATCCAGATGGGGAACCCAAACTTAACCAGCACTTACAATACTATACAAAAATGTAGGACATTACATAGCAGTTTATCGCTCTCTACTCAGTTTCAAACAAAATATTCGTATCTCTGAAGACTGACGATAAAAGTCAAGAGGTGCAGACACATGGGAAATAGTTACAAGAGTTTATTTTTTTCACTAATGCCCACACTATAATAAAAAAAAGAGTTAACATTTTAAGAAAACTTTATAAAATAATGGGTTAATTCCATTATTATTATTAAATATCTGATAAAACACTTCAAGAAGACAAAGTCCTTCTGGCCTGAAGTGAGCTAATAGATTAGTTTTGAAAAAATATTTTTCAATTTGTAAGTGATTCTTTGAAATCCAGAGGGTGCACCTTCCAAATAAAAACAAAAACTTTTGACCCTTAGTTTTTTTTTTATCTAATTATCTAACAGGTGTCTAACAATAAGGTCATTTTCTAAGCATAGCTTAGATGTGACACAAGGCCAAAAGTAAGTAAGTCCCTCTGGCCCGAAGTGAACCAGTAGATTAGTTTTGAAAAAGAGATTTTTCAATATTTAGGTGATTCTTTGGAATCCAGTTTGTGTCCCCCTTCAAAACAAAAATCAACTTTTGACCCATAATGTATATTTTTTATATACTTATCTAACAGGTGTGTAATAATAAAGTGATTTTCTAAGCGTTGCTTTGATGTGGCACAAAGCCAAATGTATGGGGCTGCTAGTGAGAATCGAACTCACTACTCAGCTGTAGTGGTTCTAGCGAGACAAGCCGGCCACTCAATAAACCGCGTCGAGGTGTACAAATGTCGCTCATAAGAAAACTGATTTTCTTTCTTCCCAGTTATTCTGTTATTTCGAACATGTCGTTTTCGTTAATGATCGATGTCATCACGATTCTTCTGTTAAGCTTAGAGAGTAATTATACATTCTTATTGTTCAAAGTAGAATCTAATAGTGTTATAAAAACCTCGGAGTATTCCAGTAAGATATCTTTAATCATTTCTAAGATACAATGGTTCAGAGCTTAATCTAACAAATGGGCAATTTTACTTTAACACCCGGTATAGATTTTCTGTTTCCTTGCTAATGTTCATTCTATAATAGATTAGTCAAAAAGAGCTAAAATTGTAAGGAACCTTTATACAGTAATGGTTTAATTTCATTATTATTATTATTATTATTATTATTATTATTATTATTATTATTATTATTATTTTCTTTGATTTCTGGCGTTTACACATTTCTTTCCGGGACCCGCCCAGGGACCTAAGGTTAGAAATGGCGTCATGACACTTTCCACTGAAAAAAAAAAAAAAATTAAATTACATAGATAAAGCCCTTCGTAAAGGTGTGGGCTGTATTTGTCAGAACAATTTTTTGTATCTCCTTGAGGCATGGACTTCCAGGAATCACTTCAATTAGTCTACTGCAATCTTTTCCAACCAGTCCTAGGGCTCCAACTACAACAGGGATTGTTGATGTTCCCATGTGCCACATTTTCGAGATTTCTATTTCAAGGTCCTTGTATTTTGACAGCTTTTTGAATATCTTCAAAGATACATTGCAGTCACCAGGGGCTGCCATATCAATAAGGAGGCACTTTTTTTGTTTGTGGTCTTTAATAACAGTGTCTGGGTGGTTGGCTTTGATTGTTCTGTCAGTGTGTATTGTGTAGTCCCATAGAATTGTAACAGGTCCTATCTCCGTAACCGGGTCTGGGTGGTGTTCATACCAGTTTCTTTCAGTTTCCTTCCCGTAGAAGTTGCAGATTTTCCAGTGCAGATATTGGCCCACTCTGTCATGTCGGGTTTTATATTCAGTGGGTGCCAATATCGCGCAACCTGATACAAGATGATCAATCGTTTCTGTATATTTATCACAGAATCTGCATTTTGGGCTGACACAATATTTTAGTATATGTGCTTGATAATTCCTAGTTAGCAAGGTTATTATTATTATTATTGAATACATGATAAAACCCATCAGGAAGAGAAATCCCTCTGGCCTGAAGTGTCCCCCTCCAAAACAAAAATTACCATTTAACCCATAATGTATATTTCTTATATCCTTATCTAACAGGTGTGTAATAATAAGGTGATTTTCCAAGCGTGGCTTAAATGTGGTGCAAAACCAAAATTATGGGGATACAAGTGAGCTATGGGTATTTGCACGTAAGTGAATGTAACAAACTCGATTAGAATTCGAAATCGGGTCTCGGATTCTATAATCCGAACCGCTATTCACCGTGCTTATATATATATATATATATATATATATATATATATATATATATATATATATATATATATATATATATATGTAAAAAAGTGAACATTGAAGTCAATACTTAGAGGCGATAGACTGTTTCATGCTAGACGCAATTATCAGGCCTGACGATTGCGTCTGGCATGAAACAGACTGTCGCCTCTAAGTCTTGACTTCAATTTTCACTTTTTAATATTTACACACGCTCTATCTCTGATATTGAGCACTTTATCCCATAAATATAGCACACCTTAAGAGTATATATATATATATATATATATATATATATATATATATATATATATATATATATATAAGGCAATGGATCCGTTGGTTTATAATCAGCTGGATCCTAGTAATATTTAGTCTATTTCAAGCTGGTAAAAATTATTCCATGAGGTAATTTTTGTTTTTTGCTTTTATATATATATATATATATATATATATATATATATATATATATATATATATATATATTATTATTATATTATTATTATTATTATTTC